GTAATTTGTTCCCTTACCTTACCATCCACCAGTCATCCTGTTCCCTAGAATTGAAGCAAGATCAGGGCATTATAAGAGAAATGAAAATGTACACCACAAGATACGAAACCATTAGTCAGCACTTGTGTTCTGTTTAAAAATCCGCAAGCAGGGACCAATTCTCATTTGGAAAACAAATATTGACACGGCTGTTGCACTCCAGTTCCCACATTTCAAAAGGCTTGCCTGAAATCTAAAGGGAAACTGTGTAATAGTTTGTGTTGTTCTGGCTAGTGATGGGGAAGAAGAAATGCCCACAAAAGCACTATTCAGCCTCATGTGTGGAGGCTTCCTCACTGCACACTATGCTGCCTGTGTGGACATCAGGGGGTGAGTTAAGCCGGTGTGCATGGCAGAGAGAAGCAACTTAAAACAGCTTCACTCCTAGCTCAGGCATTTATTCAATCTTTGAATGTTATGACTAAACTGTGCCAAAGTGTAATGATGGTCACATGGTAGAGAAACTGACAAGCTGGATCCGATTTTTCATTCATTAGTTCATCCACTCACTTATTCACTCCATTGTGTTGCCAAAAAGGCTTCACAGACCTTGACTCCACTATTGGAACAATCTAATTTGAAGATATTTCTTGGCTGGAAAAAAAACCCCTCCACATTGGTGCCTCCAAATGAAAGATGGAGATGATTTCTTCCATCCAGATGCTTCCCCAGAAGTTCCAGCAGATGGTCCTTCTGGATACATGAACAAAAATCCATAGAAATGCCTTCATATTACCCAACTGCGATAAGCCCTTAGACAATATTGGCTGCTTCTCAACAAACTATTCCTTGTCTATTCAAATCACCCATGTGCACTGCAGGTATACAGGTAGTCCTCAACTTACAACAGTTCATTTAGTAACTGTTCAAAGTTATAATAGCACTGAAAAAAGTAACAATGACCATTTTCACCATTGTAGCAGCCCTGTGGTCAAAATTCAAGTGATTGGCCACTGACTCATATTTATGACTGTTGCAATGTCCCAGAATCATGTGATCCCCTTTTGTGACCCTCTGACAAGCAAAGTCAATGGGGAAGCCAGATTCACTTAACAACAGTGTTACTAAATTAACAACTGCAATGATTCACTTAACAACTGTGGCAAGACAGGGCAAAACTCACTTAACAACTGTCTCATTTAGCAACAGAAATTTTGGGCTCACTTATGGTCGTAATTCAAGGACTACTATATAGAACACAGTGAGTGTGATTTTTTTTTTTGTCTGTTACTGAAATCATTGGCATGAGGGTCAACTAAAGACTAGTTAAGAACTAGCTGATTTTATTTAGCTAGAAACATCATTTGTTCTCCAAAAGAATTCTTGCCAATGGACAATTGGCCACCTCACAGCTCCAAAGGAAGCTTTGCAAAACTGCCTCCACAGCATTTCTTATGGAGCAGGGAGCCAAGCCAATAATTAATTGGCTTAGCTTCCCAAGGCCGACACAAACTCCAAGATGATAGGAATGGGGATACAAAAGGAAGAGAAGTCCCGACCTTAGGTTGGTGTCGGCCCTGCATAGGGAAGGGATCCAAATGTGAATTCAACCCATGGCCTTTATGCTGAATTATACTGCTCCATTATACTAAATGTTCTCAGTGGCATTTAGTGCAAAGATATTTTTTTTCACTTTGTAGACACTGTAGCACTAAGGCCCTCTTTTTTTTTTTTTTTTAGACTTGAAACAACTTTCCTATAGTCGTTGATTTAAACTTGCTCCCACTCACATCCAAGTGTGGTCTTAACACACACTATGGAATGACTTTAATCAAGGCTACCCTAGGAATTCTGGAATATTTTGGGTAATATTTTGCCAAAATTTTACTCCCTCAACTTCCTTTGGTTGGATACCAGACAAGAGTGGGAGGGTGAGTTACGTTTTATGCAAAAAAACAAAATAAAAAAATCCCTCCAAACTGCTTCAGAAGAAAATGATTTCTGCAATATTAAGGATTTGTATCCAGAAAATACAGTGTTAGCATAGAATAGAATAATCAAATAAACTGGGAAAAAGCAGAAGACTCTTGCCATGATTATCTACATTTTATAAAGCAAGATTTGTGGGATAAGTTAAATGCATCTGAAATAAGTTCATAGGCAGTTTCTCTAATTTCTTAACAATAAAAAATGTTTCTTATAAAGGTGCATCTTTTTCATTTGGCTTGAAATAATTTACAACAATAAAATTCTTACAGAGACCATTGTTTATTTGTATAATAAATACATACAGCCAGCCATCTCACTACTCACTACTTTGGGTAGTTTACTAAGTTAAAAACCCAGAAAGCTTTCGCAACAGAAAAAAAAGATTGTGTCATCCATGGCCCTCTTCCTCCATCAAATCCACCTCGCAAATGGGTGTTGCAACTGGGAAAGTTCAGTGCCTTCAGGTTTCTGACCATCTACATGAGGCTCTAGATCTTCCTCCCTCTGAAGTGGTACCTATTTATCTACTTGCATATAAAATGTTTTCCAACTCTTAGGTGGCAGAAGCTGAGGTGAGTGAAGGGAGTTCATCCTGCCACATAGTGCTAGGATTTGAACTGCTGGAGCAAAAACAGTCTCCAGCATCATTAAGACACAGAGCTACCCCATCTCTAGTCATATCTCATGGGATGGGTAGATATGAATGAGGTCAGGCAGTCCCTCCAGCCCAATGCCATATAGGACTTTATAGGTCATCATAAGTAATCATGTAATTCATCTGGATTACAACCTCACTGATCCTAATTAAAAAGACTTTGATTAATATAATGTACCAACCTAAAGTAGCAACCTTAAAAATGAACATTTTAATGCTCATTTGTGCTCATTTTTAGATGTACATTTGAAGGGAGTTTTGTAACACAAATGCCCTAGGACCATTTATCAAGACCAGCTATTGTATTATTGTTTAATTCATTTAAAAAGCTTTCATGAGAGGCTTTTTCTTTCTATTATAAATAATGGAGTATACATTAGAATTCAAACATTGTTAATTAGGACTATATATGTCAATTTTGTTCTTTACAAGGATCAAAGTTTTAATGATTGCTTCATGAAACAACATGGTGCCCTTGCTTCTATGAACAGAACAATTACATCAATTTGCTTCACTTTCCTTCTCAGCCCTTTCCAGCCTCATCTTCAGTCTTCTCCTGCATGAAAATGCTAGAAGAAGTCACTGTGCATCACATAAGCTTCTTTCAACATTTTCACTCAGCTCACTCAGCTCTTGCAAGTGCCAGAAAAAGCTAAGAGGAAGATGCAAGGCAACCCAATACACTTTGTGGAGGTAAATCAAAGCTACCTTGCCCAATCTGATGATAAACGCCCTTGATTGATGAGCTCTCCTGAGTCTAAGAAATCATTGCACTGATTTCACTTGAAACCAAATTAATGTGTGCGGCCATTTCTTTTGCAACATATTCAGGACAGAGAAGTTTCCCACCAGTAATGAAATATCTAATCCATGAAATTCTATCTCGTAGTCTTTGAGTTGATTCTACTGAATCATGTTTTTAAAACCTTCGTTATCAAGGGGAGGAATCAAGGGTCAGACATTATTTCCATGAATTCCAAAACTTCTAAGGGAAGTTTTCTGATATATATAATTAATAGTAATTAACTAATTTCTTAACAATAGGTACTACCCTAACAGCCTTGAAGGTCCAGTAGTATTTCTATTTGTATCCATGTGGTATCATGTACTTGTATCCATGAACTATGTAGTAGAGTTTATAAATGAAGATATAATTATTTGCTGTATGGAAACTAAATAATAGACAGAAGGATTGAAGTGCTTAAAACAAGAATAGAATTTGAGGAAGAATAGTCATTTTGTGTATTTATATATGATATGGGAGGCTCACACCATAACTTCATAAAATCATCATAACAATACCATAAAAGTACAAAAATATAATGTAAAACAAGATCCTTAGTAATGGCAACCTGAACAGATTGGTAAGATCCAAAGGCCCTGTGGAATGGAAAAAAAATTAGTTTCTTTTTAAATGGATGAAGGTTATTTCACTGGACAGGACTAGCTACTGGGAAGGCTTGGGATCCATCAAAATCTGTAAGGAAATAAGTCAGTCCTCCTGGGTTGAAGGCACAGGATAAATGATTCCATTTAAAAGCAACACCTTAAGTTGTTTGGAGCCAAGTCATAGAAAACTACGTAGATTAAAACCAATATTTTAAATTGTGTTTGTGAATCTATTGGGAGACAATGCAGTGCTCACAGGACTAGTGTCTTGTTAATATTGTGGCGGTTTCCTGCCAACACATGGGCAACCAGTTTCTACACCAATTGCTGGGATATATAGAGCATGTTGCAGTAGTTCAACATCAAGGTAATAAGAGTATGAGTCATCATAGCCAATGACTCCTGCTGCTAATATGGCTGCAATTGGAGCAAAAGTTGAAGCTGAATAAAAGATTATCTGGACCAGTACCTTCGCAAAGTGGTAATAGTTAATCCAAAGAACCTCCAAACTGCATGATTTCATACACAAAGCCAAAGGATAACTTCTCTCATTAGTGTGTTAGTGTCGTACCAGCGTTAAAGACATGAGCTCTGTGATAACCCACCAATAAATTGGGCAATAGTTTAAGCTCTCTCTCTTCACTTTCCTGGATTTCAGATGATACTTTGCTGAGATGGAAACCTTCTGGATGAGTCTGCTCAGCATGTGCATGGGCAGTCTAATTGTTTCTCTCTTCCTCAGGCTCCCTTTGCTGAAAACCCAGGTTTCTAGGGCAAATCCCTTTTCCCCATATCGGGTACAGTTGCTACTGGATAGCTTGATCAGCCTTCTGTGACCAGGTACCCACCACATGTATTAGGTTCTACTTCATAGTTCTCAGATAGCATGGCTGAATAGATCTGAAAGAAAGGATAATTAAAACTGTCTGAGGAAGATAGAAGAATTAGGCGAAGGGTCAGCTGTATATAGAAATGCTCTCATACTTACCGCAAGGCATCTCAGTCACTCTTCAAGGCAATGAGCAAGCCACATACTACCACATTCCCAGGCTTTGGAAAGCAAAACAAACAAGGCCTCTGGAAGAAGCTCAGACCCATAAAGTCCAGACTCAATCAAACAGAGCACAGAGCAAACATAGTCCAAAGGGAGTGGAAAGCAAATGCAGGCAAATAAACTCCAGACCTTATGAAACAGAGCACAGATAGACACACTTCCAAGCACAAGTAGAAAAGCAAACAGACACAAATAGAGTCTAAACTTAATGAAGCAGATAACTGAAACAGTAGCGGTTTCATTCTCTCTCCAAGTTAAATCAAAGCAACTGACCTCCTATCCCTCGAAGCTGTATAGAAAGAAGGAAAATTTGAATGTTATCTGCTCTGCTTCATGAGCAGAGAAGTGACTTTAATACTTTTCCATGATGAATCAATCATCCTCGAATTCATGTATGTTTTTAAGTAGCATTTTCTAATGATATCCATGGAACATGGAGAGAAAAGTAGGAACACAATAATCTTTATATTAATATTCCCATACTTAATATGTAAATGCACATCTGCAAGGTGACTGGAAGAGCTGCAAAGGCATGAGATGCCATTAACTTTCTTTCTATGTGGTATTATTACACACATTTTGGGGATGTCAGATTCACTGAATGCCATTTTGTTGATGTAAATGTGAATTTTAAGCCCAATAAAAGAAATAAATCAATATTATTTTATCAGTATGCTCAATATATTTAAAACAAACAAAAAGCCAATTGTCATTTAATTTTGAAGGAGACATGTTGTATTTCTTTTTCAAATATTTTCAACTGTAACATTAAAGAATATCTCGCTATGAGTCTGTTGGCATTTAGCACATGGTTTCCGTGCTGGACAATCTACTGTATGAGCATTATATTTAGTGATATATTATGTCAATTATACTGAAGTGCACATCTGGACCAATCTGAGGATTGGAACATCTTGGGAGCTCTATGCTAAGCCCTTGATCTTAAGCATATTTCAAAATGCATATCTTATGATAAAGTGACCATTTAAATAAAATATATTTAGAAATGCAAGCTTTGTGAGAATATATTATTTTTACGCACAGTTTTGTTTTAAAAAAATCTAATGTATTGGGAAAGATTTACTGCTAAGCACATATGAGAATGGATTGAATCTAAGCCAACTGTGTGATACAGTTACTAAAAACATTTATGCAATCTTTTTGTCTTTATAAGTATTTTATTAATTTTCTAATTTTACAATCGTAAGTACTTAATAAGCAATGTGTTGTCTGGGTCTATTATTAATTCAGTGGTACATATTAACTTTCTCAGTCTAATCCAGTGGTGGTGAACCTATGGCACAGGTGCCAGAGGTGGCACTCAGAGCCCTTTCTGTGGGCATGCGTGCCATCGCCCCAGTCCTAGGCCTTCAGCTGGGTTTTATAAAACCTTTTTGCTTTAGGCCCCCGCTGCAGTGTGCAAAAAAAAAAAAAGATTCAATCAATGAGTCAATTTCAACTTCTCGCAGGAAAAAAAAAGATCTTGCAAAGTTGGAATTGATTGATTGAACTTTTTAGTCCCACCCAGTCTGCCGTTACCACTGCAGCCACGCCCACCCAATTGGCCACACCCACCCAATGGGCCACACCCACTCAGCAGCCAACAATGCATAAGTGGGTTTGGGGTTGACTTTGGGCACTTGGTCTCTAAAAGGTTCGCCATCACTGGTCTAGTCCAAAACTACACCATCCAGTGCTTCCTTGGTCCTCTCTTCTTCCGGTAGTATACATTTTTCCATATTGGGCAAATACAATTCTTGTTACTGTTAATACATATACAATTAAATATAGACACCTTCATCACATTTTTCTGGTATTATACATAATATCAATAGTATCAATTTATAATATCTTTTCTAGTCTCAATTGCACTTGCACTTAAAATCCATTTATTCAATCAATATCCTGTTTTTCCCACTTTTTTAAAAAAATAATTTCCCATCAATGTTCAAAATATCTCTATCACTTATAATTTTCTCATAATAAATGATATTAGGATAACCAAAAGCTTCCCTTATTCAAACCCTTTTAGAATTTTCATATTTCCAACCTCATAACAAAGTATAATATTCTAGTTACAAATCCTATCCTTCTAATTATAATAATACTTTTATTTCTAACAGTTATCTATTGTCTTAGCCATATTCAAATATCTGTTTAGTGGTATAATATCCCATCTAATAGGTCAAAACCTCTATTTTCTTCAGTCTTGTTCTAGCTTTCTTCCTTTGCCAAATAACTTTCCAAGTCAGTACATTTAAATCATCAAGTAATTCTTCCTCTGTTTTTGTATATATTGTTTGGAATGAGGAAAAGAATTTGATTGAAGTGTTTTTGGAAGAATGCTCAATTCATTTATAGTCATTAAACAGCCTCCATTCTTCTCCTTCAGTTTTTGTTTTCATTTCATGTTTATCAATATTCAGCATTTCTCTTAACAGCTTTATCATCCTTGGATTAGCTCTTCTTGTTGTATTCTGAGATCTTGACAAGTATGATATCTTTTCCATTTCTGGTGTTATCACTGCACCATCTAATTTTTCATTTGTCTGTATCTGTCTGTTAATTCTTTCCTTTAGGTCCCACATCTTTGGATCTGTTTCTTCTAATTTTCCTTCTGTTTTCTGAGTTATTAGTTCCTTCTTTACAGTCATTGTCTGAATTTGTAAATTTAGAAAATTATTCTTTTATCTCATTATTTTTAGTCTCATCCTGAAATAAAACAATTGTTTCTTGGATTGATTTCAACATAGAAAGAATTTCTTTCTGAGATTCATTAACATTTTTTTGTTGATATATCAAGCTGGGAGTTTTGAAGATAGGTGCAATCTTAAGGAGCATTCAGAGAAACTTACCATTCACGCCAAAATAATTAATAATTCTGCATTAGTCAGACCACCCTTTGGAGTATTGCATCCTATTCTGGACAACACGTTTTTAAAAATTGCAATCAGGAGTGAGCTCTGAGAAATTTGATCAGAATGTGTGTAAAGTTGGCAACCAAGTCTATGAGAAATGGCTGAAAAAGATGGAAATGTGTGGTTTAGGGGAGAGAGGATAAAGGGGAATTCTTCTTTGATGTTTCAGAAGTGACTACTGCAACAGACATCTTAACTATTCTAGTATCTACACCAGCTCTTTCATAATCTAATCTGCAAATTCTTGTGAAAATATTCCCTTGCCCATGACAATTTTTTACATTTGAAATTATAGGCATAGAGCTGGTGGTTCCTGGGCATTTAATTACCTCATGCTTGTACATTCTGTATTCCCTTGATTTGTGGTGTCTTCCCAAGTTATTTTTTGTTCTCAGATGTAGATTTTGTTTTTGCCTCCCAGCCTACACACTGCATAAAATTTGGTAAGAGCTGAAGCCAGAAAAAATACTGATGGTTTTCCATGAAGTTTCACTGCCAGCTTTACCCTGCTAGTTTATTATTTCTGAGGTTTTCTCTCATAACCATTTTTCCAGTTTTTTACTTAATTCATAATTGCTTAGTTGCTCTGTAAATAGACGTTCTAACTTAATGAGGACTCTTCTTGGCTAGTTGTCTCTGAAATATAAAGATTATGGAAGTTTGGGACTTCTAAAAGCAGAATGCCACTGTATTCTTCCACATGTTTTTGCTATATATGTTCTTTTTTAAAAATGCTAATAAGACTCCCTAATCATTCATCGGATGTTCTGAGGTAATAACCAGGTAAGTCATGCCATCTTGCAAAAATAAAATGTCTCCAAATAAAATTGACAAATACTGAGAGGATACTGAGACCATGATTGAAAAAGAAGCCTGCAATGAAAACTTTCAAAAAATTTTAGATAACATTTTGGGCCATATTACCCGGCATGTATATATTCAATGTCTTCACATGAAGAAGCTTGGAGAAATATTTTGACCTGTGGGAAGTAAGAAAATTTCTAACTCCTTTCAGAATTTTGTCCTGCTTGAAATACTTTTAGAGCTTGGGTCTTCAAACTTGGCCCTTTTATGACTTGTGGACTTCAACTCCCAGAATTCCTCAGCCAGTGTGCCTGGCTGAGGAATTCTGGGAGTTGAAGTTCACAAGTCATAAAAGGGCCAAGTTTGAAGACCCCTGTTTTAGAGCGTTGCCAAGGAGCAATTAACGTGAGATCGTCTTTTTGGAAGCAAGTGAAGACTGATGTATTCACACTTGCATTGAAATTATTTTATGGTTTAATATGTCAGATGCAATAGTTTTGTTTCTGTTATTTTCTTTACAGTACACACACACACACACACACACAGAGAGAGAGAGAGAGAGAGAGAGAGAGAGAGAGAGAGAGAGAGAGAGAGAGAAGAAATCTTGAGAGCTGTAAAAAAGATGTTTAGACTCTAGAAAGAGTACAGAGAAGAGCAACAAAGATGATTAGGGGACTGGAGGCTAAAGCATATAAGGAACGGCTGCTGGAATTGGGTATGTCTACTTTAATGAAGAGAAGGACGAGGGAGGACATGATAGCAGTGTTCCAATATCTCAGGGGCTGCCTCAAAGAAGAGGGTGTCAAGCTATTTTCCAAGGCGCCTAAAGGCAGGACAAGAAGCAACGGGTGGAAACTAATCAAGGAGAGAAGCAATCTAGAACTAAGGAGAAACTTCCAGACAGTTATAACAATTAACCAGTGGAACAACCTGCCTCCAGAAATGGTGAATGGTCCAACACTGGAGGTTTTTAAGAAGACTGGACAGCCATTTGTCCGAAATGGTATAGAGTTTCCTGCCTGAGCAGGGGGTTGGACTAGATGACCTTCAAGGTCCTTTCCAACTTTACTACTGCTACTACTACTACTACTACTACTACTACTACTACTATTATTACTATTACCTTTTCATCCATCCTTCACAAGGGCACTCAATGTTAGCCCCTTTGCGGTAGGCCAGGCAAGAAGTATAACAATCAATACTAGCTCTATTTTTATTGTGAGGTTGCATTAACAGAATCTTGCAAGCTGGAAAATACCTCCTCCATCCCTTATTTTTACTCTCCCCAAAAGTAGGAAGGGTCTCTTCTGAGTAATTTTCTCCACTT